CCCATGTCGAGGATCTTTTGACTGTGGATCAGAAAAAGAATTAATTATGTTCTATATGAGTGAATTTATGGAACAGCTATCTTCCTAAATATAAATAAAATAAAATTTCTTCTCATATTCGATACTTTTCGAAAAAAAATCTCAAAACTCCGACTATCGCCGCACAGACAAAATAACCCTAAGAAGCTACTTTTCTGCATTGTATGTGTCAACGAAACGCTGCTCTTCTTGTTGCAGTCGCAAAGCTCGCCACAGTTGTTGCAAGTGCTCCTCTGCATACAAACTGAACACTATCATATAATCTCTGTAATATAACAATCCAGCTTTCATTCGCTGGCCATAGAAAACCACGGTTAACCTGTCGCTGCAGTTCGGTGCGGTGCATTCATAAGCCCCAAGGGCTACATAATCCTGGCTGGGAACGATGTCGTATGTTTGCCGTCAGGATCTGTGTCGATATGCAAAAGTGAATCTGCGGATCCAGATGATGAATAGAGTGCTTAATTCTACAGGCAACGCAGTCGTTCGCCAATCTGGAGCAACGGAAACTTTCTTCCCATGGTGATTTTGAATTCGGTGCTGATGAGCTATACCCAGTCCTTTTCGTTTGTTTGTACTGGATTGTAGCCCAACGGGTGTTTTTTCAGTTGAATTTTGCCTTCTTTTAGTATTTGTATTGTAGGCCAACAGCAAGCTCAGTTGCAGAGAATACCCCCTGGGAGAAGAAAAAACCCCAGTTTTCATGCGCACTAACACAGTATATAATTGTGAAATGCTTAGTTGGCTGACAGCAGCCCACCTACACGCAAATGTAATTACGTGTACCAACTTCAACAACGCCATACCACAACGGAGCCTAGTGTGCTGCAATGGAGTCAGAGCAATCAGGATACTATCTCCTACAAAGCAACTGCTTTCGTCCCACTCCCCCCTTCCCCTCCCCGCCGTCCCCCCCCTTCTGCAGGTGCTGAAAGGCCTGAGGGCGGTGGGGCGCGAAGGCCGCTCTTGCGTTGCCATACTACCTGTTGCAGCTCCTGCCGCAACCACATGCGCCCCTTCAGTGCATGCACAAACACCCTGCACAATTTTAAACACCACCCCTTGACTCTGCGTAACCGGCATGCAGGTAGATGTCGATACATGTATCAGCATCTTACAAACCGGGCTACACCAGAACGCGCGTTGATGCTAGGACTCGATCACAGGAAACAAAAAGGTCACTTCAAGCATATTATTGTATAACGCGTTGGGTATTTAGGAAGTCAGGAGGCTGTGCTATTCAACAAAACAGCAGCGGCCCTGCGTACGCTCGTTTTTCTCGCAGCCCCACCAACAGCCAGTCAGCCACCCTGAACGGCTCGTGCACAGCGAATTGGGGCAACCCTTACAGCTCTTCGCCGTCAACTTATTTCCAAACTAGTTTTAATTATTTCTTGNAGCGAATTGGGGCAACCCTTACAGCTCTTCGCCGTCAACTTATTTCCAAACTAGTTTTAATTATTTCTTGTTTCTAATATCCCGCTCCACCGGATTAAATCTCGTCGCATGGCGCTGCGTGTGTAGATCAGCAGCCGAGGCGTCAGCGGTGCCTTCTCTGTCTGAGTCTCGTGTTGCCAGTGTCTGGTGCCGTTCGACTGATGTCGCAGCGAGAAGTTCTTCTAAATTTTGATATAATCAATTTAATCTTTGGAAACTTCGTTTTGAGTTGTTGAAACAACTCCAGTGGTACCGGTTTCGGACCGGGCTTGGCTGGTTCTCGACTGCAGGCACAGTGGTCCGACCGTTCCATGGTGCGCAGCTTGATGGTTTAGCCAGTACCTACTGTTCCATTTCTCTCTTTTTTTATTTATTTGGTGATAAA